GTAACATTCAGTGTCCGACGAATTAACACGAGGAAATGGAGTGAAAAGACATCCGTTGATTTTGCCTGACTTTGAAATAAGAGTACTTCACCGTCTTCATATTTCACTCGACCCATGTTCGTCGCACGTACTTCACCTCCGCACATATCGCTGCAGTGTTCTGGAAGCTTCGATTTGGGCTCTTGAGACCAAACGAGCATTAATACGCCAAAATATATCAAAGTAGAAAACATTTAATCTAAACTAAGAGAAGGCTTATCAACATAACGTATAAAAGATGTTTGTATGTGTCAGATTGGAAGATAAGTTCTGTTCGATTTCTTACTTTATGAGCAAATGTAACGCTTGTTATTTTCTAACAAGAAAGTAATCAGGATCCGAAAGTTTCAGTTCATGTAGAACTTATACAGATTTACTTACACTACGAATTTCATCTTCTTATCGCTTTGATTCATCCAAATAATGTCGAAAGCCAGAAATGTTGAAAACAGTAGAATTTGGAAGTACAAACCTCTCTCATTTCCATTCCTGCATTCTCATCGCATGATTATCCGCAGAGACGCGAACCATAGTGAGCGCCCAAGAAAGACATTCAGAATAAACTAATCATTTTCGAGCAATTTCACCTGATTTTTCAAAAGGTGGAAGAAAATCTGTGGCTAAGTGTTACCGAATCCAAAGTAAACTCTACTGAATTCGAACATGTCAATCTTTAGACACATCTGTTCATTATTAATCCGTTACAGAGAATAAATAATCATAGGTACAGAAAAAGAAAGACTTATAGATGAGGATTAAACTTCAGTTATGTGCTTTTTTGAATCTTGAGAAGTTTCTTGTTTATGACGTTGGTAGTCGTAATCCCATGTCTAATTGAGTAAATACTTCACTTATTTAGTGTTTAATCACGTCTCGACACACTAATTTGCTAATATTCCAGAAAAAGTCGAACATCTCTTGACAAGAACTTTTTCAGATTCTAAGGAGTCATTTTTAGTATTTATTTGTAATCAGTGTAAAATCTAATTAGGTCATCGAATGATGTCAAAACGAACGATTCACTCATACGTTACTATGCACTTCTGAAGTTACACTTAAATGACAAAACAGTGTACACATTTTCTTCTTAAGGTAGTAATAACACCATCTCGAGGGTATGAGTGTGGGTTTGTTCTCTCTGCCAACTAACATTTTCACTCGCACCCACCGGAAGATTAAGTGTATCCTTTTTATTATCTCGATTTAATATAACAGAAAAAAATGTGATTGATTAAGACGGCCAAAAGGATATAATTGAAAAAAACAATGTAACATTTAACAACTTCTTACTTTGTTGACGGTGTTGTCATAAAATAAATTTTGTTGGATTTACAAATGTGAAAATGTTGCTCTTTATATATATGTTAGATTAGTCTGATGATTTTTCCAACAAAACTTTGATCATTTGATATTAATTTCGAATAGGGAAGTGATAGCGTTTTCATTTCATTGATCTTATCAAAAATAACAAAAAGGAATTAGCAATATGAGAAGTGTGATCTTTACGTGATTCGTATACTTTATGAAAAAACAAATTTACTTCCATTCTAATCTATTCCTTTCTCTTTCTTTACACGCTTGTTTCATTTTTCACTTCCACTTTATTGTTTCGAGTGTTTACAAAGACAAATAGCACAATCATCGTATCTCTATCTTTCAAAAAACGATAAATCACATAATTCTACAATCATTGATCATTCGATATTTTATTATTTTGGTCGTCTCATTCACAGCGACAAGTCTTCGCACATCTTCAAGAATTTATAAGCTTGAAATTAATTGAAAGTATCGAATTAGATAAAATATGGTCGTAACAACATTTTCGTAATCTGAAAGTAAATTTGGATTGCCTTTGATTAGCTCACAATATGTAATATGAAATCAGAAAAAGATTCCATTTAATGAGCTTGTGTTTTTCGAACGATTGTCCATTTCATCGATGTTTTACATAAATTCAATAAGAACTGCGGATCATCTCTTCGTATAATATTTCACAAAAAAAAATCTAAAAAGAATATTTTAGAAAACATATGTTTGAATCTTGAGGGTGTCGGTGTGGGCATGAGTTTGTTCTCGATGTACCCATACCCAGTCTCTTACACTTTTGAATGTGCTCAACTCGAATGGTCTTACTTTTTTATGACACTCCAATCAAAGCGACATGTCTATGTGAAACTAATTATTTTGTTAAATATACTAATTTTTCACTAATAACGATTAGAATGTCAAAAGAGAGCGACATCAAATATTTCCCCTTCCAATTATCTCTACTCTCGAATCAAACTTATGAAGGAAGACTGTTAGACAATAATTAGAAGACTGTCTGCCTAAGGAATGATTCAAAGAAATAGCTCTGTATTTTGAGAAAAGTTTGGGAATATTTTTGATAGACTGAATCTACTTTAATCATATACTTTTTATCAAAAAATTGGTAGAATAGAGTAAAGTTGTTCTTTGCCTTTCTTGAGGATGTGTGTACCTTCTTCCCTCATTCACATCCTCACCCACACCCACTTACATCCAAAAGGAAGTGAAAATAACTCGTACGAGTGAGAGAAATTTGATCATCGATAAAAAACAATGAATTTGTTCTTCATCGATTGAATTACTAGGAGAACGGAAGTGCCGATACGTCGTTATTCCTTATCTTTTGTCAGAGAAACTCGGATAATGTTTCGCACTTCCTACACGAGCGTAGTATTTAAATCATGCCGATAAACATCATCAACAATAAGAAACATGAAAGGTGTAATATTCTTCTTTGTTCTTACTGCTACGTTCGGCAGTGTTCGCAGTCAACAGGCATGTATGAATGGTAATTGGGCGCAATGTGCTGCGGAAGCCGTAACACAATTCCGTCAACTTTATTCATCGTACAATACTTGGCACGATAACGAGCAAGTACCAATGTTCGGCACAACATGCTATTCAGCGAGCAAAGCAGGTTTCTATCGTTGGAATTGGCGTTGGCAAGGACGATTCTGGTGTCCCACTCTATCAGGCCTTGAAGGATATTCGAACAATTGGGAGAGCCAAAAAGGTGCCATTGAGCATGCGGTTGAGGATTACGTACGAAAAGGCGCACAACATGGCTTTCTGCCGCCTAAGCGATTGTTGGATCCGCTTGATGGTCCAGGACACCGTGGTGAGTTATCATCTTGTTTTATCAATTTTCAAAAGTGACAAACTATGAAAGAAGTTCTTCCTCCACATGCAGTTTCCACTTCATGCCTTGTTTG